CTACATTTTCACTAACTACCTGTCTTGTATGCATACCAGCCCAGCCTCTGGCTTCTTTACTTTTCATTCCACCCAGGAAGAGCACACACCAACTGCTGAAACTTCCTTAGCCTGACAAAGGGTTTTTGAACCTGAAAGCTTGCTTAATAATTGTTTTCCAACTATTTAAGTTGGTCTAATAAAAAATATCAGATTCACACAAAGAATCTTGTCTGCGTTTGGTACATCAAGCCTAAGTCTGCCTGAGGTAGCGCAGTGTGTTTTTTTACGTAGCATTTAGGGTCCCGTACAGGTAGCAGGATTTTTGAACGAATGGACAGGACATAGTTTGGTTATCAAATTGGTTATATAACTTGGCAACATGACAAATGCTAAGAAAATAGTTGCAGGACCTTACATAAATGTAGTCTGAAAGTTATTCTTCTGAAATTAGGCTTAAACAGGGTTAATGCGAGACTTATTATGGACAAACTAGGGGAAAAAGCAAAGAAGGACATGCTTCCTGAATGTCTGCAACTGGAACTACATCCCTCTTCACATGTTCTTCACATGTGAAAAGGAAATATTTTTGTTTCTGAGTTAGTGAACAACTATAGAGAGTGAAACTTTTGTGAGGAAGCCTGAAAAATGAACGCGCTTTATTTTGATTCCTGAATTTTGGATTTTTTAGAAGATAAAGGGAGACTCGTATTGTATTTCTTCTTTCTCCTCAGCTCTGTTGCATTGTGTAAACTCCTCCAATATGGCATCAACACAGATGATAAGCGACTTCAGGATATTAGGGTAAAGGGGGAAGAAATATTCAATATGGATGAGGGAATACGCACACGGTCCAAATCGGCCAAAAGTAAGTAATTGGATTGCCCTTGCATTATTGGGTATACAAATGGTACATTTTGGCAGGTGCTCTAGAAGCCTTTAAAATGGATTATCTGGGTCTTCTGCAATTTTTTGGGTATAGTGCATTTAATATACCTATTGATTCTGTACAAACTTTCTTAAAGAAGGGCTTGGGACACTGTTGATACACTTCTGATTTAAAATTAAAGGTGAAATGGGTAGCTCCTTGGATATGAAATCCTTCACTGCTATATCAAATAAAATTCTGTCCTAATTGAGCGACCTAAAATTGATACTGTTATGTTGCCTTGTCTGTGTGAATCCTGGTGAAATGTTGTGTTCAGTAGACACTGTAGCTTGTCACAAGTGCAACTCAGAGGGGGAAGGTTCAGTTGAAGGGAGGCCTGCACCATGATCAGGCAGTTTTGCATTTAATAGAAGACTTCATTCTCTTATGATTTCAGTCTAGCTTCTTTCATTCATCTCAAATTCATATGAAAGTATTCTTCAGTTTGTCTGGTTTTCTAGTCTTTTTAGATGGAGTCTCCTGTATAGATTCACGTAGTGGTTCTTCATTATCATTAGAAGCCTCATTTGGAAAATGGTGCCCCACTGTGTTGGGCACTATATTATGTACTCATAACAAAATGGTAGCTCTCAAGCAGGGATCATCATTCTGAATATCTGGATCTGCAATTTACTGAGCCTGTGCTCACTTGTGAAAGTATGCAGGGTTGAGGACTAAGACGACCAGTGGAAACAGCCTAAGCCAGGGGTCGGCAACCCCTGACGTATGTGCCGAGCATGGTACGCAGGGCCATTCGTTTTGCTCAGCATGCTACTGCTAGCCTGGGCTCTAAGCAGCTGCAGCCAGCCACGAAGCCCAGGTTGTTCCCAGCAGGTGGCTGGGAGGCTGCAAGATCTGCTGCAAGTAGACTGGGCTTCTTGGGCCTGCTGCAGCCGGGAGGCTGCAAAGAGCTGCTCTGGTATGTTGGCACTCGGGCACCTTCCAAGGTAGGCATTGTCTTTTTTTTTTGGCACTCCGGCCAAAAAACACTGCCTACCGCTGGCCTAGGTGATACCTGTCCAAAGCCCACAATTGCTTTTCACAAAGAGAATGGTAATTGCCACTATTGGAGTGATTTTAGGAAGGTTAACTACCATTCCCTTTTTGCTTTTAGTTTATTATTCAGACAGGAAATGAGATACTAGTTTATTGTCTCTGTTGCATTCATTTGGTCTTGCCTAGGGCTCCAACTTGGGCATTTCACTAGCCCCTCATACTTGCTCTCACCATTAAAATGTGCTCATGGTATTCCCCTATACTTATCTTCAGCTTCTCACTATCTCATACCCAGAAGCTGCACAACAGGGAAGTTAATACCAGCACCTAATAAATGAGTAGCAGAAGATTTGAGATGAGAATTGTGAAGACTGCAAATGTGGAAAGTTTCTTTTTCTTAACCTTGTTTAGTGCAGTTTAAGTTGTTTGCGACATGTCCCTCCCCCATGGAGCAGCATATTACAGTAACTAAAAGATAGAGCTCCAGGATGTCAGGCCTGCTTGTGCTTCCAAGGAAGTCAGTGGCAGAATCCTCCTTGGCTCTAATTGTGATAGAATTTGAGGTCTGAATCCAAATACTGATCTTCAGCACCTGTTGTTCTTGCAATCTGCACTGCCACTACTCAACAGTGCCTGTGTCCAGGTTCTTAACAGGACTACTCATCAGGCCGTCTTCCAAGTTGAACCTGCCCTCATTTTTTCCTTGACACTTTTTTTTTAAACTTTTATTCATTTTGCAGCTATCCAAGTGAAAAACTTAACTTTGTTCCAGTCTTCTATTCCTAAGAAGGAAGTTCTTCTGGGATAATTTGTATATTGAATAAAATTTTGATTTTCTTCAGTAGGCTGGAGTATTGTTGTCAGACACCTTAACCTCCCAAATCCAGTAGTAGCTGCAGATTTTTCTCTTCTATCTGATAACCTTTCTGTCTTCCTCCCCTACCCCCTAATTATTATTATTTTTTTTGTTTGTTTTCTTTTGTTTTTTTGTGGGGGGAGCATATCTTGTAAAAGTAAGAGTGCCTAGATCCTTTTTTGACAGCTTGGTCTCAACCTGTTAATAGAATCCGTTGTAATTTAAATAACAAAATTGTAATAAATTAAATTGTAGTTAATTCTTTGGCTGTACTGTTTTCTTCTCTTTTCCAAACAGGGCTGAATGCACTTTTTTTCAGCTGAAGGTTTGGTTTTTCTCTGAATGTTTATAGCTAAGCAGTGTATTTTAAAACCCTCCAATTCAGTGGATTCAAGCTTCTTTTCTTGAAATGGTTTGCTTCCTTCCCTCTTCTAGATCCTGAACGCTGGACAAACATTCCTTTGTTGGTAAAAATCTTAAAACTAATAATAAATGAGCTTTCTAATGCAATGGAAGCAAATGCATCTCGACAGACAGCAGCAGACTGGAGTCAAGGTATTTTTGCTGGTGGTGTCTTTCCTCATTTTAATTGATTCAGAATGAATTGAGCATTGAAGTTGCTAGCAGAAATATGCAATAACCTCAGTGCTGTCTTTTGATTATAACAGCCTCAAGCCTCTTACTGATGTTAACAGTCCATTAGATACTTCTCTTATAACCTTTGAATTTTGTTTGTGTTGATAGAAGGCATATGGGCTTTCTTTTCTGTATCTGAACACTTGCGCGTAGGCAGTTTTTGACCCTTGTACTATTTAAATGAGGGTAGTGGTTATGAGTCCATAATTGATATGTTCCGTGTGGGTTTAAGATGCTTTTCTTTTCACAACAGATGACTCCAATGATATGTGGGAAGATCAAGATGAAGAAGAGGATGAAGATGAAGGTTTAGCAGGACAGCTTTTATCGGATATTCTTTCCACAAATAAATATGGTAAGCAGCAGTTCTTAAATACATTTTAAACTATTGTGAGCTGAAAGGATGTACAGTTATGAACATTAACATTTCTCCTTCCATTCGGCAGGTATTTTGAAAGTAGCAAGGTGAGGGAGAATGACTTGGAATGAAAGAGCAGGGTGTGGTTGGGGACAGTAAAGGATACAATCTGAAGTGGGGAATTTTCCCATGAATAAGTCTGAAAGGGAATCAATTAACAGAGCATTGTCTGTTTTCTCAGAATCTCAAATGCTAATATGGCTTTATATAATGCCCCTTAGAGAGAGGTCTCAGAGGTGAAGAGACTTCTCCAGGGTCCCATGAGGCTAGTGTCAGAATTGCAGATACTTGCCAGTTCTCTTGAAAGTCTTTTGTTAAAACAGAATGGACTTGTGTGTGGTTATCTTGAGCTGATATTTGTTTTGATCTGGAGAGCTGAAAAGAGGTATGTGCAAGTGGGAGAGAATCTGCCTTGGTATTGCTAAAGCAGCTTAAGAATTTTCTCTACATTAGCATGAGCGCAGGAGACAGAATACTATTATGATACATTGGCTCTGCTCCAGCTACCATGGCAAGGAAAAAAACATATAGGTAAATTTAGTGTCAGGAAATTATCCAGGTTCTTTTGTAATTTGGAGAAGACTTTTTTTTTTTTTTTTTTTTTCCTAACTTCACCAAGTCCTACTCAGAAAGGGGCTTGTCTGTGCACACAATGGAAATGACCTTATAATGCGCACACTAATAATGCTCCTTTGGAGGAGGCTGGGGTGCCTGAGCTGTGCAGGTGGTGGTGGTGGTGGTGGTGGTGGAGGGGACTGGGCTGCTCATGCTACACATGACAGGCAAGAGCTGAGTTACGCACATTGCAGGTGGGTGACATATAGCTGGGAGGCAAGGGGGATGCAGCCGAGGGGACTTAGGCTGCCTGTGCTGTCCAGACAGGTTAGCAAGGAGACAGGGTTTTGGGCTGCCTTTGCGGCAGGTGAACACTCAGGAGGGGGGTGCACGTGTGGCAGGCAGCACTTGGGCTCTGTGCCCTGTGCCTCATAAGGCCACTGGGACTGTGCCCTGCATGGTGTGTGGATCCTGGTTGCTCAGAAGTTGGACAGCCTTGCTATAAGGGCAGCTACCTGGAGCTGCATTTATAACTTTACAAAGCATTATATCCTTGTAGAAGCCTCTAGGACAGATATTGTGCTTGGCATTGTGGTTTGCCAGGGAGTTGGCAGAGGGCAGTGGAGGGTGCTTTTGAGAACTATTTCCAGATGTGTGGACACTACTTTGGAGTCGCTTACCAGTGAGACTGTGCATGTTCAGAAGGAGGAAGCCAAGTTTAATAATTATCAGCAACTGATGTTCTTTGAGATGTGTTGTCCACATACACATTCACATCCTGCCATCCTTTTTTTCCTTTGAGTCAGAAGTGCAATTGAGAACTGAAGAGCATTAAGTGCAAACAGCCCTTTATTTTCTTGGCTGGGATGCACAAGGTGATAGGGCTAGAAGGCACTATGTGGATACTGCTAAGGCGGAAGAGTGTCTAGTCAACTGGAGAGGACTTGAGACACCATCACAACTGAGAATATGTATGTGAACAACACCACTCTAAACTTCAGTTACTTATAAGTAACTTCATTTTACTTCATCTCACAGATCATGATTTTCACTCATGGAATGACACTCAACACATTTGTTGGGCTTCTTGGTTTCTTGTCTCAACTGGGAGTGCCTAAAAGCTATTGCCTCTGCTCCTCTTCATTTTGCCACTTTTCACTGCTCTCAACCCATTCAAAATGAATGTAATTTTTATCTAAAATAACACTTCTGAGACCAGCTTGCAACTAGATCTCTTCATTGATGGCCTAGTTAGGATGCTTTCTAAAACACCTGCTTATTTTGCCTGACAGATGAGGATTACTATGAAGATGATGAAGAGGATGATCCAGATGCATTAAAGGACCCTCTTTACCAAATAGATCTACAGGTGATATGTTAGAGTAATTTTTGCACTCAAATTTCACTTCATTTCTTATTGTACCTATGCAAAAAAAAAAAAAAATCTGAGTACTCCTGGCATGAGAAGGAGCAGTCATCCTAGAATAATATTTAAATATCCTGAATTATTAGTCAGTCCAGTGGGAGCTGGGGTTGTGCAGGCACTAAGGTGCATGGATGACAGTCTAGAGGTTACAAGTTTTAAGGCCATAGCAGAATGCTCATGGTGTGGCCTGTAAGTTTCCAACAAAATCTGTGAGTTCTGTTTAAACACCTTGTCACAAAGACACAAAAAAAAGGAAAGGAAGAAACCATTCTGGTTAACTTAATTTGGAAAGTGACAGACAGACTGTCAAAGATGCACTGAAGATTCTTTCTATGACAGCCATACAGTAGTAGTATCTTATGTAAAAGGTAAGGATTTTTGTTGGTCGTATCTTTTACTGGACCTACACTATGATTAGGGATATAAATAAGCATTGTTTTCTGCTTCCTGCTTGATCTGCTGCACTGCTTTCTCTACTCCTTTGCCCCATCTGCCTGTCCTCTCCCTTCCTGCTGCAAGCCACACAGGCTGCCCGCATGCCTGAAGTTGGCCAACTCTGTATTAGAGGAAATGTAAAGCTGGTTTGTTACATCAAGAATATTGAACTGAAACTTGCTAAGATCCACACAGTTCAGAAACTGACTTTCTAGAGGCTTATGAAGGGTAACAAGCACTGTGAACAACAAGCAGCACTGGTGTTTTAGAGTATATGTTGAGTGTTGCTGGGTTTGCGAAGTCAGAAGCCCAGACTTATAGAAAACCTTGTTGGATATTTCATGCAACATGAATTCTGGCATTAGTTTTTCTTTCTTCATTTTTTCATTTACTTGGCTATTCTAAATATTTTTGTACTGATTTTTATCTGTGTCCCTGTTCACCCCATTTTCCAGATTTTAAACAAAGTATCCACTTGCCCAGGTTCAACATAAAAGGTGAAGGGTGCTTTCAGCCAGACTAGTCCACAGCCTAGTGGTTAGGACTTTCCTGGGATGTGAGAGATGGGTTTAAATCCACCCCAGGCTGAGGAAAGTTTATAATCCAGGTCTTCCACCACATGGACAAGTGCTATAACCGCTAGGTGAATAGTGGACATCACCACTGTTTTCAAAGATGGTTGAGGATGCTGAAGTCAATGCTTTCAGTGTGTGGTAGGTATGCTCTGAGCATACCTACCATATCAGACCGCTGAGGGAAATTAGGCTAGAGGAGGCTTAGCTTGAGAATCCAGAATGGCCTTATGCAATGTTAAATAACTAAATGTTTGAATCAGCCAAAATTTATCTCAGCTCTCGGTCTGCGCAGTTGCTGAACTCTAGGTTTCTAAGTCGTCATCAGCAAGCATAAGTTCCTAAGGCCTCTTGGTTACCTAAACAATTAGGCAGGAGATTGCTTGCTTCAATTTAGCTGCCTAAATTCCTTTTTTGCACCTGGCCCTTATTTTTTTTAAATAATCAGTTTGTTCCATCGTGTCCCCTTCTTATGCATCAGTCTGTGCTTACATCTCATCTTTATTTACAGAGAATACCATGCTTTCATTGGCGTGCTGTTTGAATGTTTATGACAAATAACTCAAAGGACTATGTGTTGAATAAGAATTTTAAAAAATGAACTATATTGGTCCTTGATTACCCTCTGTCCTGAGCATTGCATTGAAGGAGCCTGAGGCCTTGTGGAGAAACTAGACTGTAGCATGCATACAAGGAGAAGGTATTAAGACTGTACAGGAATTCTTAGTTCAGGCATTTCTTAAAAGAACAAACAAGTTCATTATGTACAACTCTAAATGAACAAATTGGGGGGCGAGGGGAAAAATCCAGTTGTATTGACCCTTTGTCCCCCACATTCCCCTCAGTTTAGCCATCAGTAGAGTTTGGACCTTTTATGACCACAGTGCTAGATGGTTATCTTTATGTGATCTGGGTTTCACACATTTGTTGTCAAAGAAATGTGGAGTCTGAAAACATAAGGGTTTAATACCAGGTTTTGGAACAGAATGTGCTTGAAATCTCTTCTAGGATTGTGTTTCTCCCCATCTGTGTGCCTCCTCTTTCTTCCCAATATCTTATTCTAGCTACTGGCTGATCTTCTTTTTCTGTAACCTAGTGTTTCTCAACCTTTTTAGACTCAAGGCACACCTCAGAAAAGGCAGCTCTTAGTTTACACTCAGTATTTGACTACAGAAAAAATAAGTCATTCTTCTGTTGCAAAGAACTCAGGGAGACCATAGTAGGTCAGAATGTTTTTGATGCAGTGGATTCCTATTTAAAATATCTGGCTTTATTTTGTGCATCCTGTTTGTGCACTTAGCACTAACAGCGTGTGGCACCCTGCATCACCAGTGAAAGGCTCTTAAGGCACTGCAAGATGCCACAGCACCCTGGTTGAGACTCTCTGCTGTCCTTTTGAGTCTTCCTTGTAACCCAGTTGCTTGTCAGGATAGGGCCCTCTCACCTCTTCTCTGCATTAAGGTTCTTTCATTCTATATCTTTTGTTAAATTGTAGAATTTTTAAATTCCAAAGACAGTAGTGAGAGGTGCTAACCTGTTCTCTTGTCACTTTCTTTCTAGGCCTATCTCACTGACTTCCTGTGTCAGTTTGCACAGCAACCGTGCTATGCGGTGTTCTCAGACCACCTCAATGAGAATGAGAAAAGAGTACTACAGGCCATTGGGATATAAAAATAATCGAGAGATCACATGGATCATACCCGGATATTTTTTTTTTTCTGGCTTATTCCATATATTTTTTGATAAAACACACAGCATTTTCCAGTGTTTACCTACTGTTACAAATGTGATCATCCTCATTGCAAAGGTATTGAGCTTCATTAATTACCACAAATCTGTTTAATGGAAGGATTATTAAGAAGGTAACAAAGACTGACGTCCGTAGAGCTTTGCACACTGTTTTCACCATGGGAACACTTTCCTTTTGCATAACACCTTTCCAGGAAGTCTTTAATGTGTCCTTAAATTCACTTAAAAAAAAAACACAAAAACTTTGCCTCAGAAGACATACTTAACTGAATTTCACATAACACTGTTGGACAGAGGAAGCAATTGTGTTACTGGTAGGTTGCTTGGACATGTCTTGAGAAATTGGAAGGTTTGTCCATCTTAGCATTTGCATAACACTTACAGGGTAAATATCTTACATTGTGACTTCTTTTTATAGAACTATAGACACTTTTATTAAAGAAATGCCTGAATGGTATGAGTACTGTTTACAGGAATTTAAATGGGAAGCTGAAACAATAAAAATGAAATGAACATCTTGGTTTCCAATTGTAGTTGGGTGGGCTTTTAGTGAATTCCATCTAAGTTTCTTTTCCCTGGTTCTTTATTAAAACTTTCATATCCACATGCTGAAAGGAAACTACCTTTTAAATCTCAGTTCCTCACGGCATGTGGCCATTGAAGATTTAGGTTCGAAACAAAAACAACCAGAATTTTTTTAGGGGGGAAAAAAATGATTGTATTTAACTGTTTACTCCATGACAGCCGTTCTGTGAACTTTTTTCCTTCACACCCTTAAGACTTGCAAGAAATAGTTGAGCTGTAGTCCACAAAATAGTATATGTATTTTTATAAGGTGGTAAAATAACATTTGCAAATTGATTCACCCACAAGTATAGTGTGATGTATCTTAACACCTCTCTGCCTTTTTTTTTTTTGTTCCCTTTTTGGGAAAATAAAACTATTTAAAATATAAATTGGTATCCTTCTTTAAAAACAGATTCCTAGAAGGAAATCTCATTACATTTGATCATGTTTTTAAACATATTTATCCATTAAAATTTCTCCTGTAACTGCCACCTAATATTATCTTAAGTTGTGTGGTCAGGAGAGAGAGATTCTGTAACTGACTTAGCATTTTTCTCTCTCTTTTTTGGCAGAATGAGAACCACTAATTTGCTTCCTTTTTTTGAAGGAACGATGAAGTATTCCTCTTCATGGAGTAATGTACATTAAGATGCATCAGGAAAAATTTTGTACTAATGCCCATGTTTGCTTTTTTTGAATTGTTAATAGCTTAGGTATAAAAGAACCTAATATCAGGCTGGATTTCACTGCACAGCTCTGTGTTGGCCTGAGTTCTGCTGGTGTAATTTAGGATGCAATTTAGTTGGGATAACAAATTGACTGACTGTTTAGATAATCCAGGGAAAGATTGCACAGTCATTTTTTTAAAATTAAATGGCTCCTCATGTCTGTGTGTCTGGGATCTGGGGGGGGGGGGGGAAGAAAATCAAATGCATGGCACTTACAGATATGATCCCTAACATTCCTGAAGCGGTGACTGGACATGGACAAAAACATTGTGACTGGCAGTCTGTTTCAAGTGGAATCTGAAGGGGTCAGATGCTGAGAGATATAACAAGGTGTTCACTGCAAACTGCAGCTGGCTGGTGTGCCCAGTTTGTTTCTCAGGTGATTTAACAAAAAGTACGGGACTGCATTTCCAAGGTAACTACACTGCAAAATGTACTTGATATCCCCAGATCAGATATTCTTTGTAGAGAGTAAAAATAAGGCTGTAGAATGTCTTGGGTGGCTGAAGTTCTGCTGTTGAATATTGGAGAGAACCTTTTGCTGTATAGAGCTTAGTTATAGAACATGTGTTGAAAGTCTGGAAGAGCAAAGGCGAGAGCTAAACCGCAAGGTGAATTGTATGAATGAATGAAAATATTCTCATCGAGCCTGAATTGTTTCCTCTGTGCGTTAAAGGCAGAGTGCTACAATAAGATCCTCAAGCCTTCTAGGAAAGTGAAGGACAGGAATATGAAGAGAATGAACTGGACAGTCATGCATGTAATGCACTCCAAATTCTGCCTTTTATGTGCAACACTTGATTTAGCATGTCAGCAGTGAAAGCGCCTGAAAATACATCTGAGTGATGTCCCTCTTGACTGATTCTCCAAAGGCTTCCAAGGAACAGCCCACATGAAAATGGTCTTGCACTCATTTGCCAGCTTCTGCTCTGTGCTTGCGATTCCCAGGCTTGTCTGTTCTGCTACAGGAGGGCTGATCAGTTTTACATGTCTTGTACTCACAGCTGAAGTAGAAAATGAACACCTATGGTCTCCTCAGTTTCTAGGCTGTTGGGGCAGTGCCGTGAGGTGCTGGCTTTGCTCTCCAGCTCACAGCAGAGTTTTTTGCATCATACCTGGTCATACTTTCTGCCCTGTTTGAGATGCAGAAGCCGGCAGAGGTGCTCAGTATGCCGGTTCAAGACTCAGTGACTCAATGCCGCTGGAAAGGCACCTTCTGAAGCAGTGCTACGTATTCTCAGACTTGCAGGAGGAAGAAATAAGGGATGCCATGGAGGACAGTTTTCTCAGGACCACTTGCAGACTGTTTACTGCTGCCTCTAAGCTAAAGACAGAAGCAGTGACTGGTGGGAGTGGAGGGTCCTAAGGACTTTGGAAAACAAGCAACAGTGGCAGAACTTCAGGCTGAGTAGAGTGACCTTGCTTAAGACCTGTGCTGAGCTGGCCCTGGTGCTACAGAAACAAGGTGACCAATGTGAGGGTGTTTTGTGTACATGGAAGAGCAAGTGACAGTTGTGCACTTTGGAAGCTGCCAATCCACAATAGCCTCCAATCTGTAAACTAACCACTCCTGCAGGAGCAAGTTCACAGTTGGATTGGATCCAGGTGGTGTGCTGTGCTATCTAGCATGTGCCAGCACCTCACTCCCTCTGCCTAACTTGCAAGAGGTCATAGCTGGATTTGCCTATAGGGGATTTCTGAACTGTGTTGGGACTATCAGTGGCACGCCTATTGCTGTCTTGTGAACAGTGGCTTGGAGTATTTCAGCCTCAAGGGCTACTTCTCCATAGTGGCCCACCAGGACAGTTGGCACATGTTACCACCAAGTGGTCAGGCAAAGTGCACAATGCTAGGGTTTTCAGGAACTCCAGCCTCATGCCCTGGATCTTGTAGGGAATGTTTGCCCAGTATGGTGACCATCTCCCTAAAGTGCAGCTTACTTTGTTCCTGCCATAGCTCATGAAATCCTAAACTGGATTCTTGGATGTCAGGAAGGAGCTCTTGCACCACTGGCTGAGGAACAACCTCATACCTGTGGGTGCTTCAAGTGAGAGTAGGGTACCGCACGTGTGCCTGCATGCTCGCGATCAGTGCCTGCCCCAGATAGTCATTTAGCCTGTGTACTGCACAAAATCTGTGAGGACAGGACCAGGGCTTTCTCAGAGCCCTGCACAGTGGAGGGAAGCCCAGAAGCTTGCCAGGTAGTACAAGACTGAAGAGACTGAGCCTCTTGATCACCACATCCATCAAAATGATCTTACAAGAGAGATCCTGGCAAATTCCTTCCAGCACTACTAAGGTGGGGGATGGAAGGAGGGCACCACTGTGTAAAGTTCAACTCATTTACAACTGAAGAGAATTTCTTTATTAAAGAGTGCAAACATTTGAATGCTCTGTGCTGTGCTCTTGAAACAAAATCTCTACAGAGGGGGTATGGGGGTGGGGGTAGCTTGCGAATTTAAGGAAGGGAATGTGCAAGGGAGGCTAACATTTTCACTATATCCCCGTGGATACGGAAGGGTGCTTGGGCTGGAATGGTGCAGCATCCCACAACATTGTGCAGAGGGATCAAAGAGACTAGAGGTGCCCATCTTGCTTTCCTCATGAATACTGTCTGAGACCCTCCAAGGTCAATGGGAGTTGACCCTGCCTCCACATCTCCAAGAAGGAAAGTTTTTGTTCTGTGACTTTTATTTTGATTGCACTACTTGTAATAGGTGGAAGAGCTTTTGAGCACAAAGTGCCTTATCTTGTCTGGGCTGAGATATACTGTAAATGATAACAGACCAGAACCAAAGGAGGGCACTTTGGGAGACATGTTAGCTCTTGGTCACAACTTTACAGTTGGGTCAATGACTGATATAATCAAAAGCCCCTTTTGATTTTCACATATTTGCAACAACACTCCAAATCTATATCCCTAAGTCATCCTGGGAAGACAATGTCCCAGAAATCTCTGCTGGCGAAGGGTCTAAGAGGCTATTGCTTTTGGGAAGAGAGATGGGGTGTGTGTGTGTGTGTGCGTGTTTAGGATGGGTGGGCGAAATGGTGGATCTGGTTGGTGGCCAGACTCTACTACCCGGTCACCCTGCCTATATCGCTGCAGCTGGTTTGCCTGGAGACCCCAACAACTGGGAGGCCAGGATGGCATGGGGCCAAGATTTCCATGGAGACCAGCCCTAGCAGTGCTAAGAAATGGAGTCTGTCAAGGGCCGCCAGCCCACGGGCTGGACTTTGCCTACCCCTGGGTTAGCACCTTCTGAAAGACTGGCGCAGGCAGGCAGGGGCTTTGCCTGCAGTCTGGTCTAGGTGGCAAAGGAAAAGTTTGGGGGTAGGAAGAATGGGTCTGGGGCAAGATGTGTGCTGGGCATAAAAGGACCTGCAGGGCACAAGGATGCTTCCTTTGAGGCCTCGTGTTAGTCAAGCGGCCAAGGGAGCGGGACAGGGCGGGGCTGGCTCTAAGCAGGGCCAGCAGGAATTTTTCCCCCAGCACTGGGGATTGCCACGGATGTGCCCAGGCTCCTGCTGAGCCGCTAATCTAGAGGTTTCTCGCTGGAGGGTCTTGTGCATCTACTGAGGCTCAAGCCGTTTGCTGCATTTGGGATCAAAGTAATTTCATCGGGTCAAGTCGGTGCAGGCTGGGGTTTCGCACTGCGCATGCGCCAGAGCTGCTGCCTCTCTCCCCCCCCCCCCCCC